GGGTATGAGTGATAAAAGTCGTGTGTGAAGAGATTGTTGGGTATAAAAAGAAACTAGATTAAAGTCATAACATGCTATGTACTTAAGAATTAATTTATTTTAGGTTAATTACTCCACGAGAATTGAAGAAGAAAGTAGTTAATATATTGTATAAAATGCCATTTTAATGACATACGAGATAGAAAGAATACTTTATGTATATTTCATTTCTTAATCAGGAAGTAATACATGAGAGTTTATATACACTTTGCTAAATAAGCTTAGTTACTAATTACTTCAGATTTATCACTAACAGTGTGATTAACAACAAAACACATATGACTAATGTCCAGCTGTTACATAACAGAAAATATCTAAGAGTGAGGTGTCCCTTTATCCTCCCTCAAGCTAAACGGAGGAGACCCGAGAGAAAGCTTGGACTGTAACAACTGGAATCTGGATTTGGAAAGTGCCTTGGTATGAATATCAGCAATCTGATGATGAGTACTGACATGTTGCACTTTAACCAGATTGGCTAAAACAAGTTCTCTTATATAATGGTAATCAATCTCGACATGTTTCGTTCGAGCATGAAACACGGGATTGGATGCCAAAGAAATGGCAGAGACATTGTCACACCAAAGGTGGGGCACCTGTCGAAGTGGGAAATGGAGATCATGAAGAATTTTGCAGATCTATGTCAATTCTGCAGCTGTGTGAGCAAGAGAACGATATTCAGCTTCTGTGGACGATCGAGCAACTGTATGTTGCTTCTTTGCACTCCAGCTAATCAAGTTAGGACCAAAATACACACAATAACCACTGGTGGATCGTCTGTTAAAGGTGCAGCCAGCCCAATCAGCATCAGAAAATGCTGTAAGATGTAAGGAACCTTTCTTGAACCACAGACCTTGATGAGCTGAACCTTTGAGGAAACGTAAAATGCGTTTGACTGCTTGAAAATGTGATTCTCGGGGACACTGAAGGAATTGACAAACTTGGTCGACAGCAAACGAAATATCCGGTCGGGTCCAAGTGAGGTACTGTAAAGCACCCACAATTGATCTGTACTCGGATGAATTATCAAGTAAGGGACCGGTGTGATCCAACTTAGTTGTACCAAGGGGAGTGGAACATGGTTTGCAACCATCCATATGAGTTTTAACAAGCAGATCATGTGCATATTTCCCTTGAGATAGAAAGAGACCATCAGTAGTTCTTTGAACCTCGAGACCAAGGAAAAAATGAAGGGGACCCAAATCTTTAACAGGAAATTGATTGCTGAGCTGATGAATGAACTCATGACAAGCAGATGACTGTGGGCCAGTCACGAGGATGTCATCAACATACACTAGAACGATGATCAGAGAGGGTTTGTGTTGAACAAAGAGAGAGCAATCAGATTTAGAGTTTTCAAAGCCAAGAGAGATTAGAGTCTGAAAAAGTTTGTCATACCAGGCCCGAGGAGCCTGTTTCAAGCCATAAAGAGACTTGTTAAACTTGCAGACATAGGATGATTTGGTTGAATCAATAAAGCCAGGAGGTTGCTGCATGAAAACCTCTTCCTGAAGAGTGCCGTGAAGAAAGGCATTACTGATATCCAGTTGATTAAGAAACCAGTTGTGTTGGACATCAAGAGTTAGTAAAATGCGAATGGTGACGGGCTTTGCAACAGGATTGAATGTCTCCTGAAAGTCAACTCCTTCTTGCTGATGAAAGCCCTTAGCAACAAGGCGGGCTTTGTATCGATCAATGGAACCATCAGGTTTGCGCTTGATTCGAAAAACCCATTTACACCCGACAATATTTTGATGAGGAGAGGGAGGTACAAGAGTCCAAGTACCAGTAGTTTGTAAGGCTTGAAACTCTGCAGACATTGCTTTCGTCCAATGATCATGTTTGGAAGCCTGTAAGTAAGTGGTAGGAATAAAACTGCTTGAATCAAGTGGATGCTTGGTTGCAGCCAATACCTTGGGTTTAAAAATTCCAGCCTTTGACCGTGTCACCATTGGATGAGTATTAGTGGAGACAACAGGTAGTGGAGAAGCAGCAGAGAGCTGAGAAGTAACAGGTGTTGGAGAAGCAGCAAGTATCGGAGAATTAGCAGGTACTTGTGAGGAAGGTGAATGTGGAGATGAAGATGGAGGTACAGAGTGAGCAGGGCTATCCATGGATGAAGAAGCTTGCAGAGGAGAACTTGTTGTTGAAACTGGAAAAGGTAGTGTAAAAGTGGATGAAGCAGCAGAGGATGCAGATTCCAATGGTGCAGGACCCTTAGATTGTGGAGAATGCTGAAACGGGAAATGATCTTCATTGAAAAGAACATGTCGTGAGATGTACAAACGATGTGTTTGAACATCTAAGCTTAAATGACACAGAGAGAACTTTTCCCAGCAAGCTTAGATGATACATAAGGTTTGAGCCATGGATAACAGCTGCATCCAAAAGTCTTAAGCTTTGAATAATCAGGGACTGTGTTGAAGAGTAACTCCCAAGGAGATTTGTCCAAATTTGATAAAGGGAAATCGATTAATGAGATACAAGGCCGTAGAGAAAGCTTCAACCCAGTATCTGTGAGGAACATTGGAAGCTACTAAAAGAGTTCTTGCAGTTTCTGTGATATGGCGGTGTTTACGCTCAACACACCCATTTTGCTCAGGAGTGTGATGACAGCTGTATTGATGAGAAATACCATGCTGAACAAGAAAAGAATTGAATGCAGAACATGTAAATTCACCACCAGAATCTGATCGGAAAGTCTTGATTTTATTGCCAACCATATTTTCAACATATGCTTTGAAACTGACAAATACAGAGAAAACCTCAGATTTTGCTTTCAGAGGAAACAACCAAGTATATTTAGTGAACTCATCTACAAAGAGCACATAGTACTTGTAACCACTAACAGAAAGCACTGGAGCTGGCCCCCAAACATCACAGTGAATCAACTCAAGACTAGCAGATACAACACTAGTACTAGAAGAAAATGGTAACTTGTGATTTTTGCCTATAGCACAATCTGTGCAAAAGAAATTTATAGATTTGTCACCACTGGAAGGAAGGGAAGCTTTATTTAAAATCTTCCGAAACATTGCTGTAGAAGGATGCCCAAGCCTCCTATGCCATGTCTGGAGTGTAGCCTTAGTACTGAAAAATGCCGAGTGTGGAGAGGTGGAGGGAATGCCTTGGAGAGGGTAGAAACCATCTCTAATTGGTCCTTGAAAAAGCATCCTCCCCGTAGAGCGATCCTTGATTACAGAGCCATCAGAATCAAGAGTTAAAGCACACTTGTTATCTTTTAAAAACTGATAAGCAGAGAGAAGATTGAACTTCATCATGGGAACATGTAGAACATTATTCAAACGAAATGTAGCTGATGGTATTTTAAGCACAGAATGTCCAGAGTGATGAATAGACATACCTTGCCCATCACCAATATACACCTTCTCTTCTCCAGAATAGGGAATGTGGGAATGAATAGCGGAGATATCATTGGTGATATGGGATGTGGCTCCAGAGTCAATAAGCCAAGTAGGAGAGGTAGATTTAGATGTAGTGTGCACACACATAGCAGCTAACTTGGCAGGAGGTATTTTGCCAGCAAAAGCATGATTCATGCTTTCATAACAATCAAGTGCTTCATGCTCAAAGGAATGACAAATTTGACAAGGATTTTTACCACCAGAATAGGTATTATTACGAGAAAGGCCACCAGAATGAGAGCGATTACCAGAGTTATTGCGAAAAGATCCAGAGCCATTGCTAGGATGATTAGAATTGCCACGAAAGTTATTGAAAAACTTAGAAGAGTTACCACGATAGTTACGCTGAAAGGATCCTTCGCCACGATTATTCTGAAATCTGGGAGGAGTATTAAACTGCACTGCATAAGCTTGTGGAAAGGAAGGTGGTGTAGGAAGAAGAGGACCCTGAGATTGAGCAGCAAAGGCCTGAAAAGGTTATTGAGCGGAAGAGACAGAGCTTTTCTTTTTGCGATTCATGAATAATTCCTTGTTAATCAATAGACCATGAAGTTCATCCAGAGTAGTTGAGGAAATGCGTAACATAATAGAATCAATGAAAGATTCATATGCATCAGATAAGCCATTTAGAGTGACATCAACGAGATCATGATCAGAAACTGGTGAACCAGCCGCCATTAAAGCATCAGAAATACCTTTGATGCACTGCAGATATTCAGAGATCGAGAGATCACCTTGAGCAATAGTGTGTAAACGAGATCGGAGTTGATGAATGTGAGCCGCAGATACGCCCCCGAATCGATTCTCAAGATTAAGCCAGAGAGATCGCGGGATGAAGTCACACCAACAGTAAAGGGAATAATTTCTTCAGAGAGAGTAGAATTAAGCCAAATCAGTATGTTTTGATCTTTCTCATACCAGGCTTCATAGGCAGGATTAGGAGTGCCAGTAGAACGACCAATCGCATCAAGAACATAAGGCGGTGGACAAGGCTCGGAGCCATCAACGAAGCCAGTGAGTTTATAGCGCCGGAAGATCAGAGCAAAGAGAGCTTTCCAGACTAGGTAATTGTCACGTTTCAACTTCGTAGGTACCATACAGCTGATATTCTGAATCGTAATCGAAGAAATGGACGAATTTGAGAAATTAGGGTTCATCGCAGAGAAATTGGGGGCGACGAACTCAGACGATGCAAGATTCGGAGGAACAAGATCAGGAGAAGAAGTGGACGACGCCATGGTTGCAGAATCAAGAGAAAGCTTGAAGATCGACAGAGAGATCGTGAATCGCTCAGAAAAAAAATGAGAGGATCGAGAGGCGGTGAAGCAGAGAGGCGAGTGATACCAAGATAGAAAGAATACTTTCTGTATATTTCATTTCTTAATCAGGAAGTAATACATGAGAGTTTATATACACTTTGCTAAATAAGCTTAGTTACTAATTACTTCAGATTTATCACTAACAGTGTGATTAACAACAAAACACATATGACTAATGTCCAGCTGTTACATAACAGAAAATATCTAAGAGTGAGGTGTCCCTTTAATACGTACCCTTACAGATGACATCCAGCGGCGGGACTATCAAGCTTTCTTCGCTGCTGTAAGGAGGGGTGATTGGAATGAAACGAAGTTGTTTCTTGACCAACACGCCGATGCAACAGGACGAAAGGATTCAATGGGGACAGCTCTTCACAACGCAGTATTAATGGGGCACGAGCAAATTGTGGAAGAGCTGGTGAAGTTGATGACGGAGAAAGAATTGGAGATGCAATCTAGCGACGGTTGGACGGCTCTTGCTTATGCTGCTAGAGACAACCTCAAGATGGTTACATGCATGGTTACGAAGAACACGAAACTACTTGGTATTGCCGTAGAGGGCCGCCAAATGACTCCGATTCTCATCGCTGCTATGTATGATCGATGGGATATAGCTCGGTACCTCTACTCCCACCCTGATTTCCCATTGCAAGATCTAGTGGCATTTAAAGGCGCTTACGGCTCTCAGCTTCTTGCCTTTTGTCTTTTTGCCAAACAATTTGATAACCTAACTGCTCTTAACCGAATCAATTTTTCTGCACTCTGTGTGTGTGTGTGTGTGTGTGTGTGTGTGTGTGTGTGTGTGTGTGTGTGTGTGTGTGTGTGTGTGTGTGTGTGTATGTGTATATGTGTATATATGTATGTGTAGATATATGTGTGTGTGTGTGTGTGTGTAGGGTAGTGCTATCAACTCACCCATTTTAATTTCTCACGCAATCCTCTTAATTTTCGACCGTTAGGTTGAATGAATTGAAAAAAATTAATAGTCCAAATTAACAAAAATGTTTGAGAGGTAAAAGAATAGGTGTGTGAATTTCCTATATATGAGTAATTTTCATTTTACTACCATGAAGTATTATGATTTTCAAACTTTCACATATCAAGTTTTTTTCATCTCAGTGTCACACCTAAAGTGAGGATTGTGGGACACTTTCATACTTATGTTAGACTTTTTGTTAGAACCTAAGTAATGTGGACAATGACTAAGCTCTACGTGACGTGGTGCCATATTTATACGTGGAGCACAAGTAGTCCACCGGGTGCCACGTCATGTGTTAACTTAGATTCTAACGAAAAGCCTAACAGAAGAATGAAAGTGTCCCACAATCCTCATTTTAGGTATGATACTGGGATGAAAAAAACTTATTATGTGAAAATTTAAAAGCCACGACACTTCAAGGTGGTGAATGAGAATTACCCTATATATACATATATATATATATATATATACATATACATATATATATATATATATATATGATAATTGGTCAAAATACATACGTACAGATTTTGCATGGATGCTACTTCAGTGTATCCCAATGTTGGCATATACTCGAGGCCAAGGAAGATACTCCCCTGTGTCTGCAATTGCTAATGTGCCCTCTGCATTTCGGAGTGGAATGTCTCTCAAATTCTGGCAATCGTTGATCTATAAATGTTAGTAATATCTTCCTTTTTTTCTTACTACCATCAAATTTGGCAACATTATGTTTGTCATGTACAAATATCACCTTTCACATGAAGAGTTTCATAAGGTGGTTCAAATAAGGTAGTCTCCCTAATATATATATGTGTGTGTGTGTGTATATATATATATATATGTATATATATATTTTATAAATCTTATTACAAATGGGTACTACCATAATTGGTCTTTATGTCCAAGACACTATCTACAAAGAAGTATTTTGAACGAGGAAGTCGTATTTTTTGCTAGGTGTACACATAGAAGATGCTGATTCATCATCAGGTTTTTATATAAATGTTAAAAGTCAAGAAAATGAACAATGCAATCAAGGGAATAGCACAGGTATGTTAGTATGTTACATCTCAAAACTCTAACTACGATTTGATATGTTCAAGACCTTTTCATATGTTTTGCTCTTTTTTTTTTTTGTCGACTTTTTTCAGATATCCTTCTCCTTGTTTTTAGTAATTAGTTAGGTGATATGTGTGGTTTGATACAAATATGGAATCGACAATGAAATGCGGTCGGCCTACCCGATCATAATAAGATGGTACAATAGACAACCAACACAGCTTATCCGAATTCAAACGTGAAAATCAAGAAAAAAAAATGTACCATCTTTATATATAGAGAAAGCATGCCAAAATGGTTGAACATTCGAATATTCCTAAAATGTCATTACTTGATGGAAAAGAACTACAATTACCCAATTAAAATAAAGTCAAAATTGTAAAATAACACAATTCACAAAATTGGAGTTGATTCATAATACTTGGATTCTGATTAGTCAGTATCTAATTTATTCATCATATTATGTGGTCCAATAAGATTATAACACCTGTCTATTTAATTCTTTCTCAAACTCTTTGCCATGTTAACAAACAAACACCCACCTTCTCCTTCCCTTACTCCTGCCATGGCAAGTCTGCAAATTTGAAGCTCTTGATCGGATCCCATCCCAACTCCTCCTCCTCCAACCTCCCTCCTCCGTTGAACCATCCTTACTGAATAGGCAGTACCCAAATACTGTCCATTGGATAGTCATCCTGGAATAGTGTACCGCATAGGTAGAAAAAGTAGCGTGTGTACATTTACTATCAATTTATCCTTATACTCTACACCAATGAGAAAATATTGGAGAAGATAGTTGTGTAAACAGAATGTTTGATGAATTCTTGTTTTTTTTTTTTTTTTAACAAACGATATTATACACTAAAAAGGTGGGGGAGTGGACTAAGCCTCATAATCGAACTTAAGACCTCTCACTTACAAATGAAGAGGAATACCACTAAACCAGAGTACTAAGTGGCTGATGAATTCTTATTGTTAAACATATATCGCTCTTTTGAATGTGTTTTTAAAATGACTGAAAACACTTTTGGTAAAAATATTTTTGAAAAAAATCCTTAGTAAAAATGTTAATAAATTCTAGAAAAACACTTAAAGTGCTTTATGGAAAAATCACATAACTGGTGCTTCTAGTATAAAACACTTAAAGTGTTTTTGGAGCTCAAAAATATTTTCTCTAAATTTGTGTCACATGCGTCGGTTTTTATTACAAGGACTTCCATCGAGACTTTTCAGAGTTTTTTAGGTACGTGGACATTATTATTATTATTATTATTATTATGGATAATGATATTCACAATTAACTTCTCACACACCTTAATTTATTTTATTGGATCATGTCTGTTGATTTATCAAATTCGATTGCTATAAATTAAAAATTGTGTATGAAAAATCAGCTCCTATTTTTCATTTGTCAAAACTATCAATTTATTTATTTATTGGTAACAATATGGTTGTGAGTTGTAACATTGGTTTGAATGTCAACGTAGGAATCAACCGCATTCGTGATCTGAAATTGATCCATTGTCGGTCACGCCAAATTTTGGACTTCATGTGTGACGAGATAAAACAGTTGACTGATGAAGAAATGAGGGATGGCCTTGTGTATGAAGCAGTATACAGTGCTGTCCAAAATGGGATTGTTGAGGTCGTTATTGATCTATGTGAAGCCAGACCAGAATTATTGTTCAGAGGCTTAGAGGACGGAAAGAACATATTTTAGTATGCTGTTGAATGCCGTCAAGAAAATGTTTATAGCCTTATATACGGGGTTGGTCAAAGAAATCTCTCATTACGACTTTGAGAGATAATTCTGACAACAGCATACTACATTATGCCGGGATGTTATCTCCATTGGCAAGCAAAAAGCTTGGTGGTATTGCAGGTGCAGCCTTGCAAATGCAGAGAGAAAGGCAGTGGTACAAGGTTAGAATTATTTTATATTATTCTTGTACGCTTAATTACATTTATGACCCCTGAAATTCAATCCGCATACTTAACCCCATGAAAATCAAATTGTGTCACTTAATGCCGTGAAATTTAACTTCTTACACGCTTTATTCCATGCGATTGCCGTCTAAGAATAATATAAATTCTACCTCATTATATTCATATATCAAGTCAAACATTTTTTTTTCCTTTCTAATTACTTTGAGAACAACAATCACCTCATATCACTACGATGTATAAGTTTTTGTTCAATGAAATGCAGGAGGTAGAGAATATTGTGGGCCCACTCTCGGGAGCCTCATCTTTAAACAAAGATGGTTTGACACCCCCATAATTATTTACCGAGAAACACAAGGAATTGCTCAAGGATGGAGAAAAGTGGATGAAAGATACATCGACTTCTTATACAACTGTCAATGCCCTCATTATTACAATCATGTTTGCTGTAGCATTCACAGTTCCTGGTGGAAACCACCAAGAAACAGGGTTTCCCATATTTTTAAACAAAAAGCTATTTATGATTTTTATAGTTTCGGATTCTATTTCGCTATTTTCTTCCGCAACTTCAGCATTGATGTTTTTAAGCATCCATATATCGCGTTATGCTGAAGATGATTTCCCCAAATCCTTACCCACAAAGATGATAACTGGCATTTCCACACTCTTCATCTCCATTGTGGCCATGATGGTTGCCTTTTCTTTTGCCCTATTCATCATGCTTCCGGACAAATCATGGATTATTACTCCAATCATTGTCCTTTCTGGTGTTCCCATCATTTATTTTATTTGGATGCACCCTCCCCTTCTCGGAATTTTCGTATCTACTTATGGTGGAGGAATTTTCGATAGAAAAGTCAAACGCTGGATGTAAATTCTTGATGGTGTATGCGATATATTGTGTAACTGTAGCAATGTAATGATTGTCACCTCTAAGAAAGTTTGTATGCTTGGTACACACTATGTAAGTGTTTGATTCCTCTAATAAAAACCCCATTGTTCAAATGTTTTTTATTTGTTCTCTATAAGATCTAATTTGACTGGAGAATTATCTGTATATTAAATTGACGATCGTTTTATAACATTAAAAAAAAAAACTTGGGGTTAGAAATTTTATAAGTATGCCAATTTTTATCTAAATCATTTTACAAATAATTGAATTCTTAATTAAAATTTAGTTTAACGTGGAAACAGAAATTACAGTTCAACTGAAACAAAAATTACAGTTCAACTTACACCCCTATGAGAACGTTTATTGTTGTCAAACCCATTGTTTGTTTGATATATTAATCGACTACGATGGTCAATTCGATTTGTGTTGAGTTTGTCATGGTCAATTTAATTTAAGCTTCATATTATAAAAGGGATGTGCTATCCATACACCCGCTTTTATTTCTCACACGCCCTTTGTTAATTTCTGTCATTTGATTTTCTTCAATTCATCTGATCCGATGGTCGAAAATTACAAAGGTGTGTGAGAAGTAAAAAAGGGTGTGTGAATATCACACTCTTTGTAAAAAAAAGATTTTTTTTTCTTCTTAAATAATCTTTTTTTTTTGTTTCTTTTTACTTAGGCCAACTCCAAACCTGGGCTAAAAGCCAAATTTTTAGCCCAAAATTCCCCCCAAACACCCCCAACCCAAGCTAAAATATTGGGCTAAAAGGGGAATGCTAAAGTTGGGCCAAATTCCCCCCCCCCCAAACGCGTGGACTCGCCCCGTTTTGGGCCACTCTCGGCCCGCCGACTCGCGCACGCACCCCACGCGGGCAAGTTGCAACTGTAGCCCGACAGGAAGGGGGCCCAGCGTCAGGGCCTTGTCGGCCACTCACCCGAGCCCAACGACTCTTTTCAAAATCGGACCGCCAACATTTAAGGACCGTTGGATCACCAACGGTCCAGATTCAAATTTCATTTAAAAAAAATATGTTATTTTAAAATACATTGAATCCAACGGTTGAGATTGAATGTAATCAAATCTAACGGCCCAAATTAAAATCAAAAGGCTAAAATAATTAAATAAATTTATTTAACACAAAATTTACCCAAAAACTCTATAAATACCTATGAATTATGTGCTTTATTAATTAAGTTTATTAATTGTCGTTTGTATTAAGTTTATGTTGTTTATTATGTTGTTTATTATGTGGTTTATGTACTTTATTAAATTTATGTCTTATTAATTATTGTTTCTATTTAATCTAGATGTCTTCAATAATTATTGTACTTATAATTCAACCTCCATTCAATAAATTATCCAACGTAGTAGACAAATAACAACATAGTACACTTAAAATTATTACATAAATGCTCAACCAACATCATCAACGTTCACCTTCTCGGCGCCACACATGCTCAACCAAATCCTTGCGGAGTGTGTCATGAATTTGAGGAGCTTGAATTCTATTTAAACGTCTCATATACTCACCCAAGGTGACCCTATCATGTCGGGTCATATGTGGTTGGAGCGAGATATTCAACATCTCTTGCAATAGCTCTCGCATGTGTTGGTTGGTCATCATCCACATCTTCTCTGAATCTTCTTCAATTTCGATGTACTCATCTTCCACAATCATATTGTGCAAAATTATGCACGTCATCATGATTGAATGGAGGTCTTCGGGTTGCCAAAATCGTGCAGGCCCTCTAACAATGGCCCACCAAGCTTGTAAGATCCCGAACGCTCTCTCCATATCCTTCCTGTAAGACTCTTGCCTCTGGGAAAATAATTTCTTCTTTGCACTATCGGGATGAGAAAAACTTTTGACAAAGGTAGACCAACTAGGATAAATACCATCAGTTAGGTAGTAACCTAGCTCATACCTATTACCATTTACCTTGTATCGAAATTCTGGTGCCCATCCATTCACAACCTCATCGAACAAAGGAGAAGACCAAAGAGCGTTGATATCGTTGTTTGATCCGGGAGAGCCGAAGAATGCATGCCAAATCCATGTGTCGTAAGATACCACAGCCTCCAGCACAATGGTTGGCTTGTTATGACGGCCCTTGAATTGGCCAGCCCAACCAGTAGGACAATTCTTCCACTCCCAATGCATACAATCGAGACTTCCTATCATGCCAGGGGAGCCTCTTTTGTCTGCCTTGCGTAGAAGCCTTTTCAAGTCTTCACGAGTTGGCTTGCGGAGGTATGTGGCTCCATAGATGGCTTGAATTGCTTGACAGAAGCGCTTCAGGTTCTCAATAGCAGTACTCTCCGCAAGTCGGCAATATTCGTCAGTTGAGTCAGCAGAGCACCCATTAGCTAGCATTCGAAATGCAGATGTGAGCTTTTGATGAGGTGATAGACTTTGTCGGCCTACGTCATCTATCTTCCTTGCAAAGTAGTGGTCATGATTGACAACTGCATTCAAGATGCCTTAAAAAGCTCTCTCCTCATCCGAAACCGCCGCCGAAAATCATGAGCAGGAAATCTCGGCCGCTCAATGAAATAATCTTTCATCATTTGGTCATGACACTCTTCTCTATCACGCTGCTCGAATGAACGCCCCGTGATAGAACCACGATGGCTAGATTCGCCATGGTGCTCATATTGCATAAACGAGTTTTCAAGTTCAGCTTCGGCGTTGATTAGTTCTGAATCCTCAATGTCAAGCCTTGTTTGGTATTGTGCCATCTCCATTGCCCTACTACGCCTTCTTGTATCACCCATTGATGAGATATTGAGAATTTTTAGGAAACAAAAACTCTTTGAAAGTTGAAAGATTGGTGAATATAGAGGATGATTGAAGGTTGAAAGATTGTGTGATCAACTAATATTGGACCTGTGTTTATATAGAGGATGATTGATGAACGGTTGGTGAAAAGTTGAAAGTTTGGTGTTGAACGGTTGGTGAAAGATGAACGGTTGGTGAAAGTTGAAAGGTTGGTGAAAGTAGCTTGCTTTGTGAAAAATTTAATGATTTTTCAATATTTATCAGAATTTAAATTTTTTTAGATTAAAATGTTCATAAAATTAATTTACAATAGTCTACATATTTATTTTTATTTTTTTAAATTGATTTAAGAAAAAAATTAGCCTAAGTTCATTCTTTAATAATTCTGAGCTAAAATTTTAGACCAGAAGGGTTGGAGCAGAAAAGATATTTCTGGGCTAAAAGCCAAATTTTCCGGACTAAAAAATTTGGCTTTTAGCCCAAAGGTTGAAGATGGTCTTATGGTGCCAAGTTGGGGTCAGAAGAAATGTGGACTCCATATTTGCTATGTCAACAGTTAATTGTATCTCTTTATTCCAAACTGCCGCAGCAACGTGACTCTTAAAACTCTTTAGCAATTGATGTTTCTGTCGGCCCTCATGGAAAAGGCTCTGTCACTTCGGCATCGACCCCAACATCTATATTGTGAGACGTTGGCTTCAAAATTTGTATCGTCTGTAACCAAGGCGATGGCCCCAACACTAGTATCGTCCGTAGCTTGGATGTCGTCTAGAACACCATCAACAGATGGTTTATCCTCCATGGAACCATCAACCACCTCTGATTCATAAGGGGAGGCAGCCTTTCGCTTCCGCGCAGATGCAGGGGGACGTACCGGAACATTTTTCTCATCAGCATTACTTTTCTTAGATGATCTTGCAGCCTCCTTAGTTTTTCTTGCCTTCTTCATAGCTAGAATTAACAAAGACAGAGAAAACAATTTCGGCTTCGTATTAGAGAAGCATTTTTGTGGAATAAAATGCAAGGAATCATTTTGTGGTGTTCTGCTAACAAATAAAAGGAATAGTATAACTGGAAACTTGAATGGAATCTATTACACTTAATCATGTGTCAACGTAGAAATGTTGTCAAAAAGGAAATGTTCATGTATGTATAAATAACAACAACAAACAAATCTTATCCCACTAAAAGGAATAGTATAACTGGAAACTTGAATGGAATCTATTACACTTAATCATGCATCGACGTAGAAATGTTGTCAAAAAGGAAATGTTCATGTATGTATAAATAACAACAACAAACAAGTCTTATCCCACTAAGTTGGGGCGACTGTATGAATTTTAGAACATCACGATGCTCTGTCACACTGGTACAACACAATCAATTAAGAGACTGCTCAGCTTTGTAATTGCTAAATTGTTGCCTTTTCAAATGATTTCTTGTTTAGGAAAAGCCAGTTAATCAGCCACTTGTGAGTTTAATTAGTAATTCATTAATTTCCACAATAATTTAATGGGTTCCTTTCATTTCCACAACAATTTCAAAAATTTTGAACCTTTTTCTAACACAACCAGAACAACAGATGAAAATTCTGAACTTTTTCAGAATCCTAAAAGCCCTAAATTGACAGAAACTGAGAAACCCAGAAACCCTAAACCCCATATTGACAGAAACCAACAGTGCAGAGCAGAAATACCCAATCATTTTGGTCTTGAGTTTGTTTACCGTCAATCATTTTGATCATTCTGTGAAAAATCTCCATTAAATAAGGATAAAATGACAAAAATACCCAATTTTTTGGTCAAATCATTTTAACTTATTGTTTATTATTGAGCATAACTCCGCCTATGTCTTACATGGCCGGTCCCAAGCCCGGATAAAGGAGGAGGGGGAGGGCGTCAGGTAGTCGACAGCCGGCACTCCATGATCACGTCGAATCCTTATGAAAATGAATCCAGAACAAAATCGCGCTAAAGCTAGGGCGTCACCCGTAAGTGGCGCGCTGTGTGGCCTGAGCACAGTGATAAGTGAGCAAGGGTCGCTGTATCTCCATCGGCACCCGGATGCAGTGTTAAATGAGCAAGGGGGCCATAGAAACTTCTTTTCGAACGACTCCACTCAAAGTTGTTTGGGAGCATATGCTCCTATCAACTTTACCCGGGACACACAAAAGAAGTACTTTGATCCTATTAGACGGGGGAGGGTGAAGAAGCTAGGACAGAAGGGTAGAGTTCAAGAGAGCAAAATGCGTTTAGGAACGTGGAATATAGGAACCTTAACGGGAAAATCTATGGAAGTAGTGGAAGTTATGGTGAGGAGAAGGATAAATATTATGTGCCTACAAGAAACTAAGTGGGTTGGTAGTAAGGCAAAGGATCTAGAAAACTCAGGGTTTAAACTTTGGTATTCGGGCACAAATAGAACGAGAAACGGTGTTGGCATCATCGTGGACAAGACCTTGGTACAAGATGTTGTAGATGTCAAGAGGGTAGGAGATAGAATCATGGCAATCAAGATTGTAATAGGACAAGAACTTATCAATGTGATTAGTGCGTACGCACCTCAAGTAGGGTTGGATACGAGTTCGAAGGAGAAATTTTGGGAAGATCTTGGAGACTTGGTGCAAGGAATTGCTCAGACGGAGAAGTTATTTATAGGAGGAGATTTAAATGGACACGTGGGCAGGGAGACAGGCAACTATGGAGGTTTTCATGGTGGCCATGGTTTTGGGGAGAGAAACGAGGATGGGGAAGCTATCTTGGATTTTGCAATGGCATATGATCTCTTCTTAGCCAACACCTTCTTTAAGAAGAGAGAAGAACATGTGATCACCTACAAGAGTGGTCGTCAAAAACACAAATAGATTTTCTTCTAATGAGGAAAGGGGATCGTATAACTTGTAAGGATTGCAAAGTTATACCAGGGAGAGAGCGTGGCTAATCAACATCGCTTGTTGGTGATGGATGTACATATCAAAAGAGTAAGACAAAAGAACAAGACTTGGAAGTGCCCAAGGACTAGATGGTGGAATCTAAAAGAAGAAAAACAAGCCATTTTCAAAGAGAAGGTAATCACCCAATGTGTGTGGGATAGAGAGGGGGAAGCTAGCCAAATGTGGGATTCCATGGCTAGTTGTATCCGAAAAGTAGCAAAAGAGGTATTAGGAGAGTCCAAGGGCTTTGCCCCACACCAAAAGGAATCTTGGTGGTGGAATGAGGAGGTACAAACAAAGGTGAAGGCTAAGAAGGAATGTTGTAAAGCCTTATACAAGGAGAGGACCGATGAAAATGGTGAAAGGTATAGAAAAGCGAAGCAAGAGGCGAAAGAAAGCTGTCAGAGAAGCTAAGTTAGCGGCTTACGACGATATGTATAAACGACTAGATACCAAAGAAGGAGAGTTGGATATCTATAAACTATCTAGAGCAAGGGAAAAGAAGACAAGGGACCTAAACCAAGTGAGGTGCATCAAGGATGAGGATGGAAAGGTTCTTGCTACAGAGAACGCGGTTAAAGACAGATGGAGAGGTTATTTTCATAATCTTTTCAATGAAGGACATGAAATGAGTGCTTCTTTAGGGGAGTTGAGTAACTCAGAAGAGTGTAGAAACTACTCTTTTTATCGTCGAATCCGGAAGGAAGAAGTGGTTGTAGCTTTGAAGAAGATGAAGCATAAAAAAGCAATAGGCCCAGACGATATACCAATCGAAGTGTGGAAACTTTTGGGAGAGACAGGTATAACATGGCTCACTGACCTTTTCAATAGGATTTTGAAAACGAAGAAGATGCCAAATGAGTGGCGAACGAGCACTTTGGTGCCTATCTACAAGAATAAGGGCGACGTACAAAATTGCATGAACTATAGGGGTATTAAGCTAATGAGTCATACAATGAAGCTCTGGGAGAGAGTCATTGAGCATAGATTGAGGCAAGAGACACGGGTTTCGGACAACCAATTCGGGTTCATGCCAGGGCGCTCAACCATGGAGGCAATCTATCTCTTACGAAGATTGATGGAAAGATATAGAGATGGGAAAAAGGATTTACACATGGTCTTTATAGATTTGGAAAAAGCGTATGATAGGGTCCCAAGAGACATTCTTTGGAGGATTTTAGAGAAGAAAGGAGTACGAGTAGCATATATCCAAGCTATAAAGGATATGTATGAAGGAGCAAAGACTGCCGTAAGAACTCATGAAGGACAAACCGAAAGCTTTCCCATAACTGTAGGATTACATCAAGGCTCATCCTTAAGTCCTTACCTTTTTGCGTTGGTAATGGATGAGTTAACAGGACATATTCAAGATGATATTCCTTGGTGTATGCTTTTCGCAGACGATATAGTGTTGATAGATGAAACTCAGGAAGGGGTAAATGCAAAGCTTAACCTTTGGAGAGAAGTGTTGGAATCTAAAGGTCTTCGCCTAAGCCGATCAAAGACAGAATATATGGAGTGCAAGTTCAGTGCAAATGGAGGCCAAAACGAGTTAGGGGTGAGGATCGGAGATCAAGAAATACCAAAGAGCGACCGTTTTCGTTACCTAGGATCTATCTTGCAAAAGAACGGAGAATTAGATGGAGATCTCAACCATAGAATA